AAGGGAAGGGAAGGGAAGGGAAGGGAAGGGAAGGGAAGGGAAGGGAAGGGAAGGGAAGGGCTGGCACATCAGCTGCTCCCTCCCACCACAGCCAGCACTCGGCCCTGCTCCCAGGGGAAGGCATCCAGGGGAAGCCAAGGCCAGGACGCACTGGGCTCCAGGCACAGCTCTCCCCAAGAGTTCACCCAGGGATTCTGAGGGAGCACGGCACCAGCTGCACCTGCAGGGAGGGATGGGGCAGCAGGGAAGGAGGTGGGATGGGACAGGGAATGCTGCCACCTCCTCCTGGCCTCACTGGGTCCTTCATCCCCACCTCAGGGGTAAAATGGAGTGAGTCCAACCTTCCAGATTCCCTAACTGCACCCAGGAGCACGTGGGAGCTGCAGCTGAGATTCTTCTTCATCCCACCAGACTCTTCCCAGGGTTAGTACAGGTGGCGATGGCTCAGTGAGGAGAGACACATTCATTAGTTCCCGTGCCAGAAAGGTGGGAAACTGGTGGATGTATTTTAGTCCAGAAAAAGGCCAGAGGGCAGAAAGAAAAAAAAAGAAAATATAATTGAAGAGAACCAAACCAGGGTATTTCCAGAGGGACTGATCCTCCGAGGACAGCGAGGAGCGGTCGCTGAACCTGCGCCCGAAAAGCCAGGCTGCGTCTGGGGGGCAGCCAGGTGGGAACAGGAAAAACAGCAAAGAGAGAGATGGGATTTACTGGGAGAAGCACCACGGGTCCTCAGTGACACATCTGAGCAGGGGAAACTCAGCACTGCTCTCCTAAGGCAGGGTTTGTACACAAAGGAAATAAATCCTCAGGGAAAGGCTCCCTTGCTTTGGGAACTGGAGCTCCCAGCGCTCGCTGCAGGGTGTGCCAGCTGCAGGGAGGGACAGGGGGCAGCTGGGCACACAGGGGGGCAGCTGGGCACACAGGGGGGCAGCTGGGCACACAGGGGGCACACAGGGGGCAGCTGGGCACACAGGGGGCACAAGGGGAGCAGCTGGGCACACAGGGGGGCAGCTGGGCACACAGGGGGGCAGCTGGGCACACAGGGGGCACACAGGGGGGCAGCTGGGCACACAGGGCGGGCACAAGCGGGGCAGGCTCTCTGCCCAGCTCTGCCATGGTGGAACTGGAACTGCTCCCTGGAAATGTCTCACTCCAGGGGTCTCAAGTCTGAAGAAACTAAGGCTGAAATCAGGATTGAAGGCTCACACCCGGCCCAGCTGAGGTCTCAGGTGTCACCTGGGACTGTCCCCAAGCATCCCTGCCATCAGTGCCCAGCTGGGGCTGTGCCAGGCCTTTATCAGACACGTCCAGCCGGATTCTGATGGTGACTGGTGGTGACAAAGAGCAGGAGGTCTCTGTCCCCTGGAGCTGTAATGTCCCCAAGCACACCTGATCCCACAAACCGTGGCTCCAAGCCCTGAGCCTGCAGCACCCCTGTTCCTCCTGCACCACCCAAAGCTCTGTCTCCCCCTGCCCTGAGCCCCAGGCTGAGGGGACGTGGCCCTGGCACAGAGTCCCCTCCTGCAGCACACAGTGCCAGCCCCGAGACCCCTGTGCTCCTTCTCCTGCTGCCCACACAGCCCTGCCCTGGATGAGATGGAGCAGAGGGGCCAGAGCAGCTGTGGCTGCCAGCAGCTGGGGACAGTGGCAGGTGTGGGTGGAACTGGATGAGTTTCAAACCCAGTGCCCTCTGTGACTCCCTGATTCACTGACAGCCCTGGCCAGGGGCTGCTCCTGTGCCCCCAGCCCCTGGCACTGCTCTTCAGCTCCCTCACTCTCTCATACCCAGTGGGAAACTGTTTGGAAAACGCCCTTTTGGGAGGAGCAAGGCAGGATCTGGGCAAGCTAAAGGCAGGAACAGGCAGGGCAGGGCTGAGTCCCAGCTGCTGCACAGAAGGTGACAGTGTCACCCAGCCCAGCTCAGCAGCTGGGGGCTCAGAGGCACAGGGTGATCCATGCTCAGCCCTCCCTGTGTGGGATCTGGGCTCGGTGGAGCAGGGACAGCCACCCTGGGTGTCCCCCTGGGCGACCCCCAGCCCTGCACATGGGGGCCCAGCCTCTGCTCCAGGGGATGTTTAACAGGACCCCCAGGTCAGCAGACTGCTGCTCCCAGCCAGGATGGTGCAGCTCCAGCTGTGCCTCAGGAGGGGGAGCTTTGAGTCCTTTAAATCCCAAAAAAGTGCCTGGGCAAAGGGGACATCGGGATAATTCCTGTTCCTGTCTCACTGCCATGGCTACCCATGCCTTTGGCCGGGGGGTTTTGGTAAATGCTTCAATCACTGAGTTCACCAGAACAGCACAGATAGAATGCAATGATGATTAACTTGCTAAATTACCAGTTCTGCTGGAATCAACAGGCTCCCAACAACCCCAGCAGTGGGGCCTGCCCTGTTAGGGATGCTCCTGATCCCAATGGACCAACTGTGGTCTTTGGGCATGGAAACCCCAACTTGGATCAACCCCTCCTGATGCAGGTGAACTACAACTGCAGGTCAGCTCTGAGTCACAGCCCCTAAGCCCAGCAGAGAGAGTCCCCATTCCCAGGGAGCCCCCAGAGCCCCATTCCCAGGGATCCCCCATTCCCAGGGAGCCCCCAGAGCCCCATTCCCAGGGATCCCCCATTCCCAGGGATCCCCCATTCCCAGGGCTGACGTACACTGCATGGACATGGGTGACACCAGCTCCTCGTCCAGGTCATCCACGTCGTCGGTCATGATGAAGTGGGAGGGGTTGGGCCGGGGCGTGCCCATCCAGCCCGGGTCGATGTTGAGGGCGGAGGCCAGGGAGTGGATGCCGGGGTTGTTGACGATCTGGAAGCCGCAGAGGAGCTCGATCTGCTGCCAGCGGTGCAGCCGCTCCCGCAGCGCCGCCGTCACCTCGCTCAGAGCTTGTCTGGGGACAGGGACACACAGGGACAATGGAGGCAGCGAAGGGAAAACACCCCCTAAATCACCTGCAGGAGAGCCCATGGGGTCAGCTGTGCATCCTGAAATCCGAGACACTTCTCATCCCAGTTCCAGGAACACAGCCATTCAAAAATGCAGCAAAGTCAAGTGTCCAGGGATAATAAAAAGGGGGAATGGCTGCCAGTGGCAGAGGGCAGGGCTGGATCTTGGGATCTGGGGCAGGAATTGTTCCCTGGCAGGGTGGGCAGGGGCTGGGATGGAATTGCCAGAGCAGCTGGGGCTGCCCCTGGATCCCTGGCAGTGCCCAAGGCCAGGCTGGACATTGGGGAAGGGACAGTGGGAGGTGTCCCTGCCATGGCTGGGATGGCACTGGAGGGGCTCTGAGGTCCCTCTCAACTCAAACCATTCCAGGACAATCCCTTAAGGGTCCTGCAGCCTCCTGGAAGCTCATTCTGGCAGGAGTTTTATTTGCTCCAGGTAACTGTGATCCCTTGTTTCTCACAGGTAAAATCAGAAGAGGAGCAAGTCCAACCCCAGGCCACTGAGGACAAGAGAAGTTCAGCAAAATGAGCCCCAAAGCCCTGCAGAGGTGAGGCCACTGCTGCCTGGGCCAGGGGAGGGGTGGAGAGAGGCAGGGATGAGGGAGGTGTTGAGCAGACACTCACTTTGCAGTTAAGATTTTATGATCAACATCATCCAGAGAGGAACTGTGAGCGACATGGAACGTTCCAAAAAGGGTGTTTCGCTTCTTTTTGATCTTTTCAGCCTGCAATATCAACAGAGGAAGGTCACAGGAAGAAAACAACCTGATGTCTCCTCCAGGCCATGGACATCCTGGATGGGATGGGACAGGAACAGTCCCTGCAGCTGCCTGCACAGGTGGGAATAGTGGGAATGCTGTTCTCCCTGACACTGGCGTGAGGAATTCACCAGCAGCAAGTACCAGGCTGGGGATTTCATTCTCCCCTCCCCCAGTTTCCCAAAAAATCAGAGGGAACTGGACTGAAAAGGCTGAACTTTCAGGGCAGAGTTGGAGTCCCCATCCCTGGAGGGATTTCACAGCCCTGTGGGTGTGGGGCAGTGGTGGGCACTGCTCGGGGAATAGGTGGACTCAAAGGTCTCCAGGGGTTCCTCCAACCCAAACCATTCCATGATTCCATCAACCAGGAACCTCACTCAGTGAAGGGCTCTCACACACTGGCTGCTCTCCCCTGTGAATAACCACCAAACACACCCCAGGGTGTGGGCTGGGCAAGCTTTTTGGTTTGAGGTCATTTGTGTCATTGTATCACAAATTAAAGTCTCCTCCCAGAGTTCTTTCATTCCCAGCCCCGTGGCATGAACCTGGCACTGAGGAAAGCCAAGGATGTGGATGCAAGAACTGACACAGATAAAGGAAAACTTGGAATGGTAAAATGTTCCAATCAAAGCAGATTAAGGCAGACAGAGTTTTCCCTCCTGCCAGCTCTGCTGGCTCTGTGTGGCCATGGGGACGAGGACGAGTCTCAACAGCTCCCTGGGCTCATCCCTCAGGGCTGGCACACAAAATCCTGGATTGGGAATGCAGCAGTGATTCACCTCAGATCTCAGATTCCACTGCCTGTGCGTGCTCCTCACCTGCAGCAGGGACTGTAGTGGGAGCTTACAAAGCCTCCCAGGTACCCAGAGCAGCAATCCCTGCCCCACATTCCCAGGGCTCCAGGCTCCAACTGTGCCCAGGTTGGGACCTGCCCACCCTGAGAGCCCATGGCTCATCCTCATCCTCATCCCCATCCTCATTCTCATCATCATCCTCATCCTCATCCTCATCCCCATCCTCCTGCTCAGCCCCTGCTCACACCTCGCTTGTGCTGCACTTTTACAAGACACAGATTCAAGGCATGGAGGGAAACTGCCCTGAGCTGAGGGAGGGCAGGGCTGGATCTTGGGATCTGGGGCAGGAATTGTTCCCTGGCAGGGTGGGCAGGGGCTGGGATGGAATTGCCAGAGCAGCTGGGGCTGCCCCTGGATCCCTGGCAGTGCCCAAGGCCAGGCTGGAGACTGGGGATGGGAGCACCTGGGATAATCAAAGGTGCCCCTACCCAGGGAATGAGATGAACTTTAAGGTCCCTCCCAACCCAACCCAGCCCAGTCTGGGATTGCACAAAACAAAGAAGGTGCACAGAAATCAGCTCTCCAGGCTTCCCTCCCCAGCTCTCCCCACAGACCCAGCACGAGGCCGCTCCAGCTCTCACCCCTTCCTTGGCCACCAGCAGCTGCTTCTCTGCGTTCTGCTTCTTGATGTTGTAGTACTGCACCTCCACCTCGTGGGTCAGCTGCAGCCACTTCTGCAGAGCCTCGGGGGCGGCCCAGCTGCAGTGGGACTCCAGCTCCTTCTCGGCGTTCTTCAGCGCCATCCGCACCTGCGGAGAAGTGCCCGGGACACCGTGGAGCAGCCGTGGGGACCCGGCCCTCCCGCAGCTCATCGTCCCCCGCCGCTGACAAACGGGAAAGGACTTCCCAGGCGGCTTCATCCCAGTGCTGGCAGCAGGAAAAGTCCTCTGGAGGAGCGGTGGCACGCTGGGGACCGGGGAGAGGAGCCACCCACGCGCCAGGCCGCTGCTCCCGGCACCAGAACCCACCACGGGCCATTGCTGCCATCCTGGAACCGGGCTCCTGCCTCAGGAATTGCCAGCCAGCGCCACGCCGTGCTCCCTGTGCACCCCTCCCCGCCAGCTCCTCTGCCACCAGCCACGGGCAAAGCCCCTGGAGCCGATGGCACGGTGCTCAGGGCTGTGAACAGGGATTTCACTCGCATGGAGGATGCTCTGGGGCTTTTGTGCAGCCTCCAGAAAGCCGTGCAGAGCTCCCTGTAACTCCCCAGATCCTCCTGCGGAGGCAGAATCCCTGACAGGAGCGTGCAGGCGAGCCCTGTCTCACCACAGCTCCGAGCCAAGCCCAGGGAGCTCGTCAGGAGACAACTTCCACACGGAGAAAGTGAGAAAAATATTTAGACACAGAACATGTGCTGCTGGTCAGGAAAAGAAACAGCCAGGCTGGATCAGCCATTCCTGGGGTCTCTCCTTCCACCCCAGCCCGGGCTCCTGCACGCCCTGACATCCCACAGAGATCCAGGATTAGAGGGAGTGAGAAGGCAGCTGAGGACACTGCAGCCTCGCAGGACAGCCTTGGGTGAAGGACACCACCAGGAATGGTCTCCTGCAGTGCCCAGCCTGTGGAGGGGCTCTCCCAGCCCTGCAGGAGGGAGCGTGTCCCACACTGCATGGACACACCGTGGGGCTGGGACACACAGCTGGGACACACCGTGGGGCTGGGACACACCGTGGGGCTGGGACACACAGCTGGGACACACATGGGGCTGGGACACACCGTGGGGCTGGGGACACACATGGGGCTGGGCCACCACGGCACCCCAAGCTCGGGGGGCTGTGGTTTCCCACTGCACAACAGCTTTGCCTCCCACCCAGAGCGGCTCCCAGAGCTCCCCTGCTCCTGCAGTCCCAGCCCACGGACTCAGCCCTTTCCCTCACGGCGGTGGGCGGATGCACAAGCGTTTCTGTGAAGGATTGCTCACGCTTGGAGCTTTTCCCTGCACGGCTTTAACTCATCACAGCTCAGCGAGCCCAGCCCAGGGGGGAGCCAGCAGCCCTGGGGTACAGGCAGAGACCGAAACTCCCTGTTTTATCCATCCACACAGGGGCAGCCCCAAGGCACCACACACGAGGTCAAACACTTCCACTGTCTGTGTGTGATTTAGGGCTGTTCATCAGTAGGACATTGCCCAAATCAGTCCCAGAGTGCCAAACCCAGCCCCAGAGCCCGGGCTCTTCCTGCTGGGCACCAGCAGTGCCAGGTGCTGCTCCCAGCCCAGAGAGCTCTGAGCCTCACACGCGGGCATCTGGGAGCTGGGAATGTGGAGAGAACACGGGTAGGAAACCTGTCACTGGTGGCTGGGGGGGAGGAGTGCTCATAACGCTGACAGGAATGATTTTAGGGAATGGTGGGAAAGGAAAGTGCTGAGGAACAGGCAAGGACCAGTGGCTGAAATGAGTGTCCACAACCCAAACCCTCGTGGTTCTGCAGGGAATCTGTGCAAACAGCAGTTATTTTGTGTCTCCATTCTCCTGGGAAGAGCTTTAAGATTTCATTTGGATCACTAAGATCAACAATTTATAAGGAAATTTATAAAAAGTTGTACTCTGCCCTGGTGAGACCCCAGAGTGCTGCCTTCAGCCCTGGAGCCCAACAACAGCACCTGGAGCTGCTGGAGCCTGTCCAGAGGAGCCACAGAGCTGCTCCAGGGCTGGAGCCCTCTGGAGCCAGGCTGGGAGAGCTGGGGGTGCTCAGCTGGAGAGGAGAAGCTGCAGGGAGAGTAAAGAGCCCCATGCAGGGCCTGAAGGGGCTCCAGGAGAGCTGGAGAGGGACTGGGGCCAAGGGCTGCAGGGCCAGGAGCCAGGGAATGGCTGCCAGGGGCAGAGGGCAGAGCTGGATCTTGGGATCTTGGGCAGGAATTGTTCCCTGGCAGGGTGGGCAGGGGCTGGGATGGAATTGCCAGAGCAGCTGGGGCTGCCCCTGGATCCCTGGCAGTGCCCAAGGCCAGGCTGGACATTGGGAGCTCCTGGGACAGTGGGAGGGCTGGAAATGGGATGAGATTTAAGGTCTGTCCAACCCACACCACTCTGGGATTCTATTCCACATTTCTGTGTTCTCTGGGTCTCATGTGGCCCCATGGGTGTCTGTGGAGGGTGACCCAGTGAGGAGAGAGGGGATGGATGAAGATCCTGGGAACAGGACATGTCTCCATCCCCAGCTCCAGTGTGGCTTTGGTGTTAAGAACCAGCTGGTGCAGAAGGTCTGGGTTAATGCTCCCCAGGAGCAGGGAATGCTGAACTGGGGGGAGCTGTGGGGTCAGAGGGGTGCCTGGTTAATGTCACGAGTGTCCTGGAGCTGCTGGCACGGTGCTGGGGTTACGCTCACACGGTGCTCGGGTGGGACACTCCGGTACTCACCTCCCCAGGGACCGAGGAACCCCAGAGGCCACGTCCACACCGCCTGCCCGGGCTCCTTCCAAACGGGAACGCAGGGGGAAGCGCAAGGGGTGAGAGCTGGGCTGGGAGCCAGGGCTGGGCACCCGAGGCCCACCTGAGGCCCCCCAGCCCATGTGGGTCAGAGCACAGAGCCCCGGTGCCCGTGGCAGGATGCACAGCCCGGGGAAGGGAGCTCAGTGGCCCCCGGGAGAGGAGGGCTGGCCACGGGAGGAGGCTGGCTAAGAGCGCTCCTGGAAACGGCACCGGGGCTCTGCTGCTGTCCCAGGCACAAGGGGAATTTGCACCCTGCACTGCCCCAGGGCTCCCAGGACACCTGCTCCTGCCTTGCCAGGGGAAGCCCTGCATTCCTGCCTCACTTTCTTCCCCGTCCTCCACGGTGGCAGAAAAGACTGAGGAGACACACGTGGCCTTGGAACATCGGGGAACCTGCCTGGCTCACACAGCTCCGGCTCCCAGGTCCAGTCTAAACTGATCCGTAACTCAGAGCCAGCTGAGAACTGTCCCTCAGGGGAGATAGGAAGCAGCTACTGGGATTGTGGGTTTGCATTTTCCTGTAGGTTTGGGGAGGTTAAGGTGGGATACTGGGGAAATTTCCTTATGGAAAGGGCTGTCCAGCCCTGGCACAGGCTGCCCAGGGCAATGCTGGAGTCACGTCCATGGAGAGATTTAACAAGATGTGGCAACTGGGGACATGGTCAGTGGTGGCCGTGGCAGTGGCTGGACTTGATGGTCTCGGAGGGTTTTCCCAACCCTTACACACCCTCTGATCCATGAGAAAACACGGGAAGCATAACTGAACTCATTCCAAATCTGACCTAAAACCATGAACACACATAAAGAGATGATTTATGGACTGAGGAGGGAGTCAGAAATCCCAGAGGGTGCAGCTCCAGGGCAACTCCAACCCCTCTGCTCCTGCTGGGATGCCACAAGGTACCAGCACCTGCCCTGCCTGGCACCACGGCACTGACCAAGATGTGTCATGGACACCATGGAAAAGAGACCTGGAGCTTTTCCTCCACAAAGGGGAGTGGGAAAGCAAAGGCAGAAGCAGCATCCCTGGATCCAGGGGTGGTGGAGAGCAGTGAGCAGTGGTGTCCCTGAGGCCGGCACTGGGCCCAGCACTGGGAAATGCCTTTGTTGGTGCCAGGCCACGGCTCCAGGGCAGCCCCACACACCGGCAGGGCCAGCCAGGGGCTGCGTGCTGCGCTCACACGCCGCAGGGAGGGCACGGGGCAGCCACGGGCTCCTGGCCAGGCTGCAGAGCTGGCACCGTGCCAGCCTCGGGCAGCTCAGCAGCACCAAGGGCAAGGGGCTGCACCTGGCCCGGGGCAATGGCAGCACAAACAGCCTGGCACAATGGGCTGGGAGCAGCCCTGGGGAGAAGGAGCTGGGCATTGCTGGGAGAGGCTCCCCAGGGCCTGGCCACGAGCACTGGGAGCTGGGCTGATCCCACAGCGTGGGCAGCAGGAAAGGGATTGATTGGGATTGTGCCCCTGTGCTCAGGTGAGACCTCACCTGCAGAGCTGCCCCGGGGCCCAGCACAGGGAGCAGCTGGAGCTGCTGGAGAGAGCCCAGAGGAGGCCACAGGGATGGAACCCTCTGGAGCCAGGCTGGGAGAGCTGGGGGTGCTCAGCTGGAGAGGAGAAGCTGCAGGGAGAGCTCAGAGCCCCTTGCAGGGCCTGAAGGGGCTCCAGGAGAGCTGGAGAGGGACTGGGGCCAAGGGCTGCAGGGGCAGGAGCCAGGGAATGGCTGCCAGGGGCAGAGGGCAGGGCTGGATCTTGGGATCTTGGGCAGGAATTGTTCCCTGGCAGGGTGGGCAGGGGCTGGGATGGAATTGCCAGAGCAGCTGGGGCTGCCCCTGGATCCCTGGCAGTGCCCAAGGCCAGGCTGGACATTGGGAGCTCCTGGGACAGTGGGAGGTGGCCCTGCTGTGGCTGGGCTGGGAATGGGTGGTCCTCAAGGTACTTTCTCACCCAGACCACTCTGGGATTCCTGAACATCTCCCCAGTGCCAGCTCTCTCGAGGAGGTTTTCCCTTGCCTTGCTGCTCTGTTCAGGTGTTGATGGTGGTGCTGTAGGAGATGATCTGGGGGTCCTGTGCAGTGCCAGGCAGGTTGGGTGAGCCACGCTCAGGGACAGTGCCAGGAGCAGAGGTCAGGGGGGCTCCAGGGCGAGGGACAGGGCAGCACCTCCCATCTCTCCTCACCCCCTTTTGCTTCTCTTGTCCCTCGCTCCTTTCCATTTCCCTGCCATTCCTGTAACCTCCTGTGCGTGGGGTGGGGCTGGGCCCCTCGCCCCATCCCACGGCCCAGGCGGGCCATAAGGGCCCCGGGGACGTGGGGCCAGCAGCCATCCATCATCCATCCATCCATCATCCATCCATCCATCGTCCATCCATCATCCATCATCCATCCATCATCCATCATCCATCATCCATCATCCATCCATCATCCATCCATCCATCATCCATCCATCCATCATCCATCCATCATCCATCCATCTATCATCCATCCATCATCCATCATCCATCCATCCATCCATCCATCCATCATCCATCCATCATCCATCCATCCATCATCCATC